ACTAGGTATACTGTTTATGTTAATTTGTCCAAGATCATTGTAAGCGCAGTGGAAGCGTGCTGGGCCCATAACCCAGAGGTCGGTGGATCGGAACCACTTCCTGCTACCACTGTTGGAACCCTGTTCTTGGGTTAATTAAATAACAAATAATACTCAATTATTATAAATACAAATTAGATGAATAAAGAGGTTATACAAATCTTGTGTCAAAAGTAACCTTGTTACTCTACAATGTACTCTCTTAAATAGTGAATGATTGATATGGTGTGACTCAGTAACTCACACTACTCTGCTCTAACTAATAGTTAAAACACATTTTAATACTTTCAACACTACTATATAACAAATAATTTGAGCAAAGGTTTAGTTCCAGTGATTGTATATACAGTGTTGGGGTAAAGGGACTCCAGAAGGCAGACAAGGCTCGACTCCAGACTCTAGTTGAAGTAACAGAAGAGAGAGGAGTGTCCAGTGTTTAGTTGACTCCAGACTCTAGCGTAGCAGAAGGGAGAGGAGTGACGTTGTCGACTCCAGACTCTAGCGTAGCAGAAGGGAGAGGAGTGACGTTGTTTTAGTGATCCCACAGATTCCAGTCGACAGATACTATCTGTGTTCTGTGACGTGGAAAGAGTGGTAAGTAGTTTATAGTTATAGTTTAGTAGTTTAGTCTAGGAGTTCCCGCTTCCTCTTTCACTTTCATTTATAGTTTCACGTGGATTACCTTTCACTTTACTCACGGTAGTTTTCCCCCAGGGTTTTGTTTTATAGTTATCAGTTCCAGTTTTACTTGAAGTCCTCATCATTCAGAAGTCCCTCATATAGTAAGAAGAACATCATCATCAGGAGTAGTAGTTTTAATTTAATAGTAGTTTAATCTAATAGTAACAAAGACATTGTTTAGTTTAGTATTGAAATGTGTTTTAACTATTAGTTAGAGCAGAGTAGTGTGAGTTACTGAGTCACACCATATCAATCATTCACTATTTAAGAGAGTACATTGTAGAGTAACAAGGTTACTTTTGACACAAGATTTGTATAACCTCTTTATTCATCTAATTTGTATTTATAATAATTGAGTATTATTTGTTATTTAATTAACCCAAGAACAGGGTTCCAACAGTATTTAGGTCAGAGGCTAATGATACAAAATATTTATTGAATTCGTTTGCTATGATCCTTCTATTTGTTATCTTAACGTTGTCTATGGTGAACAGCGGCTTTATTTCACGCCGCCGTTTACCTCTTATACGATTTATTAGTTCCCAGGTCTTTTTACTATCACCGCTATTTTCAGCAAATTTACCAGAGAAGTATTCTGTTTTCACAGTTTGACGTGTTTTCTTTAGGACTTTTCTGTATTCTTTGTAGATAAGGTAGCAACTACGTTTTAGTGAGCATTCAGGGCACTGGCAAATGCCGCCCTTGTTATCAGTTTCCCCGAGTTTACATTTTCTATTTCTTATCTCAACCCAATTTTCGTACAGTTTATGCTGATTATTAATTGAGCAAATGAGACCGGGAGTTATCCAAGGGTTAACCTGAACAGTTCTCTTAGAGGTTTTCGGGGTCTCTAATTTAAACGATTTTTCGACGCAGTTTTTGTAAGTGTCATGGAATTCAGTAAAGTTATGGATTGTTTTAGTTTTAAGCTCATCTTCAAGATCCACTAGGAAGCCGTTAACATTTGATTGACAGAAGTCGTAATATTGTTTAAAAGAAGTTTTTTCAGAGTTGACTTCAACATTCCAGTTAAATGTGTTAAAAATAGGTGAGTGATGAGTTATTCGTTCTTTTAGGGTGCCTGAAGTAATCACATTCTCAATATCGTTAGTAATAATGTTATCTATGCAGGATGCTTTACAGCCTGGTTTTTCGTGGGTAACAATAGATATTAACGGACAAAATCCTTTACTGAATAATATTTCTTCATATTTTTGAACATTTTTGTTATCTTTATCATGAAGATCGATATTAAAGTCTCCAGCTAGATAACTAAACTTCGGCATGTGATCAAGAAGGTTAGAAAGTTCAACTAGAGCTTGGGAAATACAGCCACTTGGTGGACGATACAAAACACCTACATTAACAGGTTGATCTTCGTTACTTAATGATAAGACAAGTATTTCTAGATGTTCTGTGACTTGTGATATATTCTCAATTACAGTAGCATTTAATTTATCGTCAACATAAAGGGCTACTCCAGTGCCCTTTTGTTTGTTAGGTGCTGTGTCCTGATAGTAACTATTATAACCGTCGAGCTGAAATAGATTGCTTAATTCTTTTCCAGTGTTGGTTTCAGCTAGGGCTATTACGGAGAATTTTGTTTTGTACCTACAGGTTTCAATGGCAAGGTTGTCAAAATTTGATTTATTTCCATCAATATTTTGAAAGAGAATAGATGATTGTTTCTTTACTTGGTTGCAGAGAATATTTGTAAGGTCAGATGCAGTGTATGAGTTACAATCATTTAAAGTATTTGAGATTTTGGTTGTGTATTCGTCTAGGTTGTTGTCGTCGTCGTCATTGTCAGTGAGTAGTTTAAATGGGTTGTATTTAACCTTGTCTAAATGGATACAACGAGTACAGTAAAACTCATTAGATTGGCTATTTGGATTTGATTTGCGATAGCATTTATGGTGCATTATGCAGTCACAGTGAAAACATTCAACTATTGTTTGGCCGATGACTATGTTCTTAGAACAGACAGGACATACCTCCTTAATGAGGGGAGTCATGGTTGGTAACCATCCACGTGACCCTGACTAGCAGCAGCAGGAACAACAGGACCAGTTTCTCTTCCAGCAGTCGCATCCCTGTAGGATCTATCGTCTACCCTTGTGGACCTCCTCTTCCTTTTGTCGATACCACCGTTAATCCTGAGAAGAACAGTGTTACGAATAAATTGACCTAACTTTGCTAGTCCCCTCCAGTTGAGGTGAAGGAAGTCCGGTTTTTGGTATTTGTTGAGGTCGCGAGAGAGAGAGCGGTCAAGGAGACCATCCCTATCACAGAACTCATCAAATCCATCCACATAACTGACACCAAAATTGGACGGGAGCAGCCTACATCGAATCAAACTGTTAAAGTATATAAGCTTTCTATTTAAATCAGCACGTTTAGAAGGAATTGTTGGACAAACATATACATGCACACCCGGATTAATAGATTGAATCTGGGCAATTTTTGAAACTAGATGGTTGTAGATTATATCAATATCGTTTTGGCTTTGATAAATGGCTTTAAATAAATGATATCTCTAATAGCTCTAGCTTGGGATCGTTTGTCACCTTTGCGGATGACACCAACATATTTGTTGTTGGTAAAACTGCACAAGAAGCATATGAACGCAGCAACGCCCTACTTTCAAACCTTCAAACATACATGCGGGCTAACAAGCTTCACATAAACATGTCAAAATGCTGCTACATTCACTTTAGACCTAAGTCACGTACTGAAGCAAACGTTGAAGAAGAATTCATAATGAATATAGACAACTACCCCATCAAAAGAGTAACGTCAGCTAGATTTTTAGGAGTCGTCATTGACGAAAATCTAACATGGGAAGAACATATAATAGCCCTAAAACGAAAGCTTAACCATGCCACCTCAACTCTGTGTCGTCTACGCTGCTCCCTCCCAGAATTTCTCCACAGACAGTTATACTACACTCTTTTTGAATCCCATCTGTCGTACTGCATATCAGCATGGGGTGGGGCAGCTAAAAATCGTATAAGCTCAATATTCACTGCACAGAAGTACTGTCTGAGGGTCTTGTTTGGTGATAGAGCAGCCTACCTGGATAAATTCAAAACGTGTGTTCGAACCAGACCATTTACTGACCAGAAACTTGATAGTAAATTTTATAAAAAGGAGCACACTAAACCTTTGTTTAAAAACAACGAGAGTACAGACTCACTGTACAAAATCTTTATACTTACCATAGCTACATAGAATTATTCAAGATCATGAAGTTTTCTACTCCTATGTCTATGTACGAAGAGTATTCTCGTTCTTCCAGGAAACCAATGCTTATTATCAATAAACCGGATCGCCCAGACAACCATAACACGAGGTCAACGAAAATATGGAATATAATAACCCCTAACCTTAAAATCTTTGATTGTTCTGTTAGTATTTCTTGCCTGAAATCCATTTAACTGAAATCTTCACTACTTTCCAACCAGCATTGTCATGCCGTGTACGACTGGACAAATAAAGACTTTGATATTTGTAACCTTAAATTTTCGTAGGCTCCTGCAGGGATTCCACCTGACCTCCAAAATTTCATGACCAAATAGACTTACTCTGCCAGCGTATTCCTCTGTCAAGTTAAATGTGATGTGTGAGTGAGTAAGTGTAGTGTAAAGAGATCCTATTTTTGTAACCAATTTGAATTCTAATAAAGACCCTAAGCATTATGATCAAATTTTTAGTACAATAGTTATATCAGGGTTGACATCTATGATTAATATTATAACCTAATATTCATTTCTTTTTCTCCCTTAAATTTAAACACCTTTTAGACTTTTAGCCATGATTTAGTATTGAACACCCAAAATACTTACCTTCCTTAATAATCGTAAAGACCATTTGTTACAAAATAGCTGCTAGAATAATGCATGCCAAATATTCCCTCTTACACCCACAAATTATAATGCCTTCCTATCAACGCCTCTAATTTGGTCACTAATCAACCAGACTAGCGTTCTGGTGTGTACAAAAGCTACCAGCCAGTACATTCCTTGCCCCGCTAGTTGATTGTCAAAAAATCATACAGCTCAGAACAAACGGCCATTTACCACTAAGAGCATTATATGTTTTCATTTGTTTAAATTTTATGCTGTAAAATGTGCTAAAACTTTGATTATTTGTTTAATTGATCAATTTTAAAATTTTAAGATGACAACTCGTTTGGTAGGTAGGAATTTGGATCATAAATTGCAAATGCCAAATGACTCAAATAGCTTTACCAAAAGGTAGTTAAAAACCCGCTCCCAGCAATGATAAGTGATATCGAACTTTTATGTGAACACCTGATAGAGAAATACCCTAAACTAGAAGGAGTTGAACCTTATTGCCCAAGATTACCTGAGTTTTATGGTACATACAAGACACACAAGAAAATCAATCCACCCCCACTACGACCAGTAACATCACAAGTTGACTCACCAGGAGAGAGACTTGGACATGCTACCAACCACATCTTGAAACAAGCCCTTCAGTATGTACCTGTTCACCTCAAAGACTCCACTGAGGCCCGACAGCGACTGCAACAATGCTCAATAAACTCCAATCACATGCTCATAACAGCCGATGTGAAGAGCCTATACACCAACATCCCACTGGAACATGGAGTCAAAGTGGTCTCAGACTTTATCAAACATCACAGGGATAAAATCGATATGCTTGGGATAGAACACTTTGACTTTGTCACTATGCTGAAAACCGTGACTCAGTCTGCATATTTTAGATTTGATGAACAATACTATAGACAAACGGAAGGACTAGGGCTGGGAGTAAAACCAGCCCCAACATTTGCCATCATATACGTATACTTGACAGTAGAGAAACCATTACTGGAACAAGATTTCACATACAGTGAAGCTGAACCAGGAGATAGACCATCAAATCTCATGCCTGTGTATTGCTGGAACAGGTATGTTGATGACTGTATCACTATAGAGGAAGGAACAGAAAATGACGTCAGTCAACTCTTTAAGTATGTTAACACGCTTAACCCGAAAATTCAGTTCACATATGAAGCTAACCCTAAACAAATAGACTTCTTAGATCTCACTATCCACTTGCAAGAGAACTCAGATAAACCACAATTCGAACTCTTCATAAAACCGACAAGTTTGGGCATATTCCTCAACTACAACTCTGGACATCCGAGAAGTACTATTATGAATAGTGCTAGGAACGAGTTGTTAAGAGCAGTGAGAAACGGGTCTACAGACGAATTCAAACAACGTGGTGTAAATAAAATCAAAGACATGTTACTCTCCAATTACTCTGTTATAGAGAGGTTGACGAGGGAAATAAACAAAGATAAACCACCTAACCAGACACGACTGAGAATCACACAGTACCTAAGCCTCCCATATGTTAATGAATACCACAAACGGAAAGTATATCAGATTCTACGTCAAAATGATCTATTGGACAAAACCAAAGTATCATTTTATCCGGACAAGAAACTGGGAGAGATTCTTACTAGGTCAGCACTACACCCTACACCATGTAACAAACAGAGTGCTTCAAAGTGCTATGATTGTGATGATCTATGTATGCAGAAGAACATAGCGTACAAACTGACATGCAATATCTGCAATGCAAAGTACTGTGGTGAAACAGGCAGGTTCAAACGCAACAGATGCTGGGAACACCTAAAATCTGTAAGGAATAAAAATAACAAGACGGCCATGGGGAAACATTATCTCATGTCACACCCTGAAATAAAAGAAATTCCTATCGAACCATTTAAATTTGAAGTCCTCAAAGTATGTAAGGATTATGCAGACCGAATGATCTGGCAATCACTGTATATCAAGCAGTTACTTCCTAAAATAAACACTCAGCTCTCACCTGAAGCAGACTCGTGGCAAAAGACCACATGGGCTATTATGTAAATGTCATCAACAGATATGTAGTGGCACCCTTTCAGTTTCCCCGAAAATGTTAGGGAGTAGGAAGCTATTTCTGTTGCTGTTTTGTGAACGTTGGTCTAGCTCTCAAATATTGGACAGTTCTAGATTCTTTGGCCTAACATCTATCTTTTGCTTTGAAAAATTTTCTACCGCTTAGAATCTTCCCATTTTATTTTTAATGTTTTTCAGAGTTTTATGTATTAATTTGGATATTTACCAGGTCACTATGTAACAAAGTTTTTGTTCCGCCTTGAAGAAGCCATGGTGGCGAAACGTCGGCAATAACGTGTGTTATTTGTATTCAATTCAGAGGAGATTAGCCATTTTCAATCTAAACTCATAAGCTTTTTAAAGTGCTGAAAAAGGTGCAGTAAATGGAAACTAATTCCGAACTGTGATAAAAACAAAACAGAGTGCATAATGATTGCACCAACATCCTCACCTGCACCTGATGTCACAAACTTCAGATTGTTAATTATTGGCAACAGACCCATAACCTATACATATCAATCAACTGTTCTCGGATTAACAATCGACAACAAGCTTGCATTCAAGGGTCACGCAAATTTCAAACTCAAGCAATGCTGGTTTGCCTGGCACAGGATCACCCAAAACTCCACCTGCCACAGAGGTCTGAATGCAAGCTCACTCAGAATGCTCTTCAGAACAGTGGTACTCACAAAACTTCTATATGCTGCTCCTATATGGCTAAAAGATAACCTCGATACTTTCAAAGACTTTTATGCCAGGGTCCTCTTGAAGATAAGCGGGGCCACTCACCATCCTCCCAAAGATTTGACCTCTGTTGCGCTTGGGATTCCACCCCTTGAAATATCCTACAAGATGGTCACTATAAAATTTATAATAAAAGCACTTATAAGTGACCCATTTATGCAAGGGCTCATCTTGCAGCTAGAGGTTATATCAAAGCTTGACTACTGTAATGCACTGTATGTTTGCCTACCGATGAAGTCACTAAAAAAGCTCAAATCTGTACTGAATGCTGGAATACGATTCATTTATAACATCGATGACCGTGATGTAGATCTTCTTGAATACTACAAAAAAGCACACATTCTCCCCATTGAAGAACGAATAAGTTTCAAGATTTGTCTTCTGGCGTATAAGGTTATGTACAGCCAAGCACCACCATATCTGTCTGATCTTCTTCAGATTGACTCCCAGGCAGCATATTCTAAAACACGGCAACTGTCTGGTGATGACTTAAGGTTTAAGGTTAGTAGACCCAGTAAAATCAGGCTAGGTGATAGGAGGTTTAGCAACGCAGCCCCAAAACTCTGGAACTTGCTACTGTATACGGTAAGAAAAACTAAAAACATTGATACTTTTAAACGGGCTTTAAAAACCCGTTTTTTCAATCATTTAGAACATACCTAGTCGTATTTATATTTGTGTTCTTTTTTAGAAAGTTCCTAGAACCTGGCCTAAGTTTGTAGGTTTGTAGATTATTCCATGGGATATTTTAACTGCCATGAGTTTTGTGTATAGTTACACTTACACGGAGTCCGGAGAGACTAGACTGCCATTTGCCATGCCCTGGCTTTTTTAAATTTTTATAACCTGTATCCTTGGCCGGTACCACATGATTGCAGCGTTGGTAGCACATGCTTCGGCAATCTACCTGTACCTCAGTGAACCGGTGGGTGAACGGCAGCTTGCTTGCAAGCTGTTGGGTACAGGGTGATGTAGTGTGCGAGTTCCCTTAATTGGGTGCGACAATACTTAGGGAAATCGGACTGGGGATCCGTCGGCCTGGTCTACTACCTTGAGCAACTCATTAAATGATTGTGTGGTATTGACGGGGATGCAGGCCACAGTTTGTGTTTGTTGTTTTGATCTACAAATAAAGAAGAGTGTATAATGAAGTTCAATTAATTAAATTCTTTTGAATAAATCAAAGTAACCAATATGTGTCGAGATTATTATTTTACTCTTATAGTATATTCCATCTGATGTCTGATTGTACCACCATGTCTGTCGTATAATATAGTTTTTAGACGTTAGTGTTACTTATAAGCAGTTTAAAGGAAAATGAGAATTTTTTGTTGGAGAATTCTAAATTATTATAGTTTTATCTTTGTTTGGACAGCCGCTCTGACATTAGTAGCTAGTACCATTCTTGGTTACTAGTTGCTAATATGAGCGGGATATAAATACTTTGTTATTATTATTATTATTAATTGCGCTGATAAAAATGTATGATTGAGACGAATCTTCGAGTAGTTCATTTTTTTTTTTTTTTTGTTCAGGGAGCAGGCTTGCCACATAGGTCCAGGAGTACCGAACGTTTAGGCAGGGTGCTAGGTTATGGAACACACTCAACTAGGTAGTAGGTAGCCTGAGAGTCCGAAAATCTCCAAAAGGAGATGTCATCAGAGTGTGATCCACTGCCTGACTAACCTGTGGGTAGAGTTCATTAGACTCTATAATGATGACAGGTAGTATCTTCTGTATGTTGCTGAGATCCAGTGTCCATGGTACCTATTTTTGAATTAGTTGGAAGAAGGATAATCGATAATATTGCAACCACTTTCTGCAAATTAAACTGATAAATGAAATAAAAATTTAAAAACCAATAATAAATATAAGGATAAATACCTTGACTGAATAGTGAATGTCTCTGAAGAAGGAGAGACGATAAAGCATGATACAACACGGTATGTTGAAATAAAGCCTGTCTCTGAAGAAGGAGAGACGATAAAGCATGATATGACACGGTATGTTGAAAGAAAGCCTGTGTCTGATGAAGGAGACACGATAAAGCATGATACGACACGGTATATAGAAAGAAAGCCTGTCTCTGAAGAGGGAGAGACGATAAAGCATGATACGACACGGTATGTTTCGAAAGAAAGCCTGTCTCTGAAGAAGGAGAAACGATAAAGCATGATACGACACGGTATGTTGAAATAAAGCCTGTCTCTGAGGAAGGAGAGACGATAAAGCATGAAACGACACGGTAAGTTGAAATAAAGCCTGTCTCTGAAGAAGGAGAGACGATAAAGCATTCAATACGACACGGTATGCTGAAATAAAGCCTGTCTCTGAAGAAGGAGAGACGATAAAGCATGATACGACACGGTATGTTGAAAGAAAGCCTGTGTCTGACGAAGGAGACACGATAAAGCATGATACGACACGGTATGTTGAAAGAAAGCCTGTCTCTGAAGAAGGAGAGACGATAAAGCATGATATGACACGGTATGTTGAAAGAAAGCCTGTGTCTGATGAAGGAGACACGATAAAGCATGATACGACACGGTATATAGAAAGAAAGCCTGTCTCTGAAGAGGGAGAGACGATAAAGCATGATACGACACGGTATGTTTCGAAAGAAAGCCTGTCTCTGAAGAAGGAGAAACGATAAAGCATGATATGACACGGTATGTTGAAATAAAGCCTGTCTCTGAGGAAGGAGAGACGATAAAGCATGAAACGACACGGTAAGTTGAAATAAAGCCTGTCTCTGAAGAAGGAGAGACGATAAAGCATGATACGACACGGTATGCTGAAATAAAGCCTGTCTCTGAAGAAGGAGAGACGATAAAGCATGATACGACACGGTATGTTGAAAGAAAGCCTGTGTCTGACGAAGGAGACACGATAAAGCATGATACGACACGGTATGTTGAAAGAAAGCCTGTCTCTGAAGAAGGAGAGACGATAAAGCATGATGCGACACGATATGTTGAAAGAAAGCCTGTCTCTGAAGAAGGAGAGACGATAAAGCATGATACGACACGGTATGTTGAAAGAAAGCCTGTGTCTTAATATGAAGGAGACACGATAAAAACGACAAACGATACGTTATGCTGGAAATATGGATATCTCTGTAGATTAAACAAATGGCAAGAAAAATACTATAAAAGACCCATCGCAGGATCTGGTGCTGGCCAGCCCGTGAACGCACAAAATATCTGCACTGTGCAGAAAAACTAGAAATAACCGAGGAACTAAGGCGATGTAGCGCCGAAACAAGTGAAGCATTCCCAGATGGGGAGAAGGAACCATCAACTCAGTGTGCGAGACCAAGTGATAAACAAATACTTATAACAGTAACACAAATAAATGTGCAGTTCAAAAAACTGTGATGCTAACTGTAAGCGTAAAAAGTATGGGGAGAAGTAATGAAAATGGGAGTGATAAAGTCACATCCAAAGAGTTAGTGAAGAAGGTGTTCACAAACCTTAACCAGAAGTGTCTAATGAAGTAAGTCAGACAAGCAAACGCTTCCTTAAATGATGATTTAAGTCGTCTCTATCCCAGAAATTATGAATGATGACCCAGTGTAAAAGTGCAGAAATCGGCCGAAAATAACAAAGACTAAAAACAGTTAAAAAGTGACAGGATTCAAACACAAGGAAAATTAATAACATAAAGCGTAATAAGGAATATCTCCAAACGGAGTTTTCTTAGAGGGTGAGAGGTTCTTTAATAAGACCTAATGATTAAATGAGACCCACTAAAGGTACTAAATTAACCGGACTGCTAGCGAGGAATCGAGAGTAGGAATAAAATAAAAGCGGAATAAATTCTAAGATAACGAAAAACTGGTACAGACAGCTAAAGTCCTAACACGGAGTCTGGGAAAAACCTGTGAACCAAATAAGCAGAATGAGTAGTTCATTACTATATATAGTAAAAAAGCTTATTTTAAATTTCGTTAGCATATCCAATATTCATGAGTTTATTATCGGATGTTTAAGTTCGACTATGTTTATTATGATATTATTATTCATTGTAATATGGCAATAAAATTTAAATTTTGTTTTACTTAAAATTTTGTTTTACTTATCACCCTGTGTTGTTCCTTCCTCAGATTTATTAACGATTTAAATTTAAGTCAAAATTTAAATATAAGTTATATGTATATCTCATATCTGTTTTGTAAATTATGAACTCTAAGTTGAGTTATAAAATCTAAACTAACTGTTCCTTCCAACTAAATCTATTTTGTAATA